TAAGGCCGGGCCGGCCCTGTGGCTTGGTGGTTAAGTGCGCGCGCTGCAATGCTGGTGGCCGGGGTTCGGATCCCGGGTGTGCATTGAGGCACCACTTCTCCGTCCATCCTGAGGCCGAGTCCCACATACAGCAACTAGAAGGATGTGCAGCTATGACATACAACTATCTACTGGGGCTTGGGGGGGAAAAAAATAAAATAAATAAAATCTTAAAAAAAAAAAAAAAGAAGTAAAAGGGAAGGATTAAAAGTTTTCAAATAGGAGATTGACAAAAATAAAGTAACGGTCCACAGGAGAAGCTGAAGAGAGACAGACACTGGAGATAAATCAATGCAGAAGACAAAGTAGAAAAGTAGTAGATTACCTAGGAGGGGTTAAAGGAAAAATTGCCTCGTCCCACCTTCCCCTCCATTAGAGAGGAGACCTCCACATATGAAGATGGCCAGAGAGAGCAAAAAAAAAGTTGAAATTCCTTAAAAAGAAAGAAATGAGAGAGGAAGCAAGGGCCACATATTTCAGCAGTTTTCAATGTCTGTTAGCCCTAGAGCTGTTTCTTCAAACCAATCTTAAAGAGAAGCGTAATATGTAAAATGAATGAAAGTGGAGTTGCCCTAATGAAGGTTGGGGTGTGTGTGTGTGTGTGTGTGTGTATGTGTGTGTTGGTGGTGGTTGAGATGTGTTGCCTTGGGGTTCTCAGTTTCCTCTATGAAAATCAATGACGTTTCTTATCTCATTTGGCCTCCACATCAGTGGGGAAGGCATTTCTATTGGTCCTAGTTTAGACTTGAGGAAAATGATTTAGAATGGCTTAGGGATTTATTCAAACTCACACAACTAGTATGAGGCAGAATCAGGACTAGGACACAGATTTTATGACCCCAAATCCCTTGTTCTTTCTGATATACCACTCAAAATGCCTTGTTCTTTCTGCTACAGCACACTAACATTTTCCTTGACTAAAGGAGTTTCTTTGAAGAGCCAGTAACAACAAAAAGAAAAGAAAGATTTGGGGAAAATATGTGGTACTTAATAACTTAGTAAAACCAACTCATTTATCTTATCAGAGGCCCCAAAATGTAGTCCATCTTAGGAGGGAGTTGCAATCCCATAGCATCCATAGCATCTTTTTTTTTTTTTTTTTTTCTTATCAGAGGCCCCAAAATGTA